TTTCTTTTTTTCCATTCCTGCATTTCCATCATTCTGCGCCCCCCCCTCCCCCTCTCAGGATGATTGTTGGAGATGTTTGAGAATCTGTTGTTTATTGGACTCTATCTGAATGTTAACTGTCAATGTTCCCCATACTGTTTGTAGCTTCACTGATTTGAGCTGTAGTATCACCTTGTATTCAGCCGCAGAATAACATAAACTGCAGGAAGGAACATTTTCATTAATGCCTGTTAGATTTCTCTTCTTTTTTTTTTGTTTGTTTTCTGTTTTTTTGTGTCCATCTTTTCTGCACAGCGTTTTAACAGGTGAGATGGTTTTTGTCTCGGCGGTTAGTCCTGGTTTCATTCAAGGGCAGAAGAACACGGAGAGAGACAAACAGATTGGTATTTAATTGAAGATTGATCTCTTCCTTACCAAAAAGCCTTAATGCTATTACATGTCACATCGCTGACAGAAAAAAATTTGGCTTGCCCCTTCCATCATTAACGATACCTGTATGTTTATAAATGTCACTATCATACACTGAAAGCTTCAGTTTGGATTCTTTCCTTGTTTCCCAGCAGATTTGGGATGTAAGATGTGTTGGACACGGTTGTGTTTCTGTGCAACATCTCACCTCTTTGACAAGACCAAATAAACACATGACTAAGACCCACGGCTCATGGTGGTGTACTGCAGAGTGAAACCAAAACTTTTGTGAGCTCCTGCCCTGATTGGTTAAAAATATCTCCATAAAGGATGTGATGTCTTGTCAACGCTACAGATTTACAACTAAACCTTATACACAACAGGTCGTTTTGAAGTGAATAAATCAAAGCAGAACTGCAGGCAAAGAATATCACTGATTTAAACAAGTAAAAGCATTTCATTTCATCAGTGTTCATTGTTCAGGATTGATTTCTTGTAGCTTATGGGGTTAGTTAGTTGGGATGTTAAACTACTGAAACAAAACCTGCTTTTCTCTCGTTTCCCCTTATCGTCTGCCCCTGATTCTTCTGAGGACCACATGTTCACACTGTACGGCTGCTTTCATTTGAAACTGCTTGCTTAGGATGGCGCTGAAGACAAATTGTGTCATTGATAACACTTATGAGATGTTACTCCCTACTTTCTGAAAACCTGCTTTCTCAGTGTCACTGTCATTTTTCTTCTTTTTTTTTCTCTCTCGAAAAAAAACCGTGATTTCTTAAATGATTTAAAACCTAAAAAAAAACAACATCTAGTTTATAAAGGCAAACACAGTCTTTCATTTGTCCAATATGTTTTCAAATGTTGATTAAAAACCAAATTTACATGAAGCCTTTTTTATGTTTTGCTTGCTTCCTTCCTTTTGCACTCCCACCTCGCTGCAGCATGTTTTTCTTTCTTTTTTTTTAATCCACTGGGTGATGTCATTCTCAAGTTAATTATGGAAACAGAGTAGACTGGAGCCATGTTCAGTCACTTTCATTCAGCTGATGGCAGGATTTATCCACAGCTGTAGTTAATTGTAATGTCCGAACGATGGAGACATTTCACAGTCACTGTAAACAGATTGAAATGGAATTCAATCTTTTGATACTATTTATATAAACCAAAGGAACATACATGATATAAACCTTTAATATTTATATAAATAAAAAAGACAAATTGATGAGGGATATCAAGAAATCTGAAACTGTAAATACTCAGAACATTACATTTATGGTAGACACATTAAACCATAGCTAATCTAGTGATTTTCTCCCTCTGGTTCATTACATGACTTCATACTGCAACATGATACATGTGCTAGTGCACCTCCACAACTTTAAGATTTCCCTTCTCTGAAAAAGCCAATAAAGATGATGATATTTTCCAAACATCTAAATGATATAACACATTTCTAATCAGAGATACACTTCATCTCAACAGTGCTGTTATCCAGTCCTCTTGTCTAACATCTCACATGCAGAGATCATTGTAAGACAAAAAAGAGCTTTGGTTAACATAGCTTGGAAAAATGTGAAGGCCCCAAGTTTGTACGGAAAGATCGGTATACCATCAACTACACACGTAATATGTTACTGCTTACATAACTTTGTCGCTGTTTTTGCTTTTGGTGTTTTATTTCTATTTAAAATATGCAGGTTTTGTGTGTGTGCAAGAACACCAGCTTTTCTGTCTTTTGTTTTATTGAATTAGTTTGATTTGATAATTACTTGTTTCTGTACGTTTGTTGTTGTTGTTGGTTTATTTATTGGGTAGGGGTGAGAATGGAAGGGTATCGAGAAGAACGGTGCACTATTGTATTTTTATTTGTGTATCAGGGTGCTGGCTAATGTACACATTATGAAAATAAAAAGATGTGGGGGGGGGGGGAGACTAAAAAGAAAATTAAAATAGATTTTACATCTCATCCAGTACTGTACATGTACATGGTTTCTGTCTCCTCCCTAAGATGGTGCAGCATCTATGCTTACTTCACCTTCAAAACCAAGGGAATTATTTTTCATCTGGCCTTTCCTCTTATATTCCAGTCAGTCCACATGAGCACACAGTCTTGGTCAGCAGCAATAAAAGCTACAAACCATGTGTCCACCTGGGATTTATCCAACAGGGAGCTACTGTAAAACAGTAACAGAAAAGCAACAAATCTCTGACATGAAATAATGTCCTGTGTCAGCTCTCTGCTGCCTGTCTCCATCTGCATCGCTGCACCCCGCTGCACACACCCCCCGCAGCGAGGCCACACTGATGCAGCACTCTCCTCCCAGTCGTTCCCCCGAGGGCTCAGATAAAACAGCAGCTCTCCCAGACTGCTAAGGCCGAGTCCAGCAGAAGAAACATTTCAAACTGACCCTACCTCTACACGATGCTTCCTAACATGAGAGCTGTTAAATGTTATTACAGCAGCCCTCTGAAGGCCTCGTGCTGCAGTGAACATTGTAAATACATTACCTCCCTCTAGTGGTGGATGTAAAGCTCTAGTAATGGTCATTGTCATTCTGGGCAGTGCCTCCCCATTGATCCTCATTCAGAAAGATAGAACACTGCAGCAGTGGTTGGATGGATGCAGTACTTTGTGTACCTATGGCATCAGGGTGTATGAGAGATTAAAGAATGTAAACCTCACATTGGAAAAGAGATTTGAAACAAACAAAAAAAACATCTCCACATTAACCAGAGAGAGATCTGCTTAAATATGTTTAGGTGTGTCCTATCAACAAGACCACAGGTGAAGGACATTAAATAAAAAATGTGTCATTTTTCATTGAGGCTCACTGGTGCGTCTACAGGGACATTTGCTCTTACTACAACAAATCAAGATATTTCCCCGAAACAAAGGCCATCATCAACGGTTGAAAGCTTATTAAGGCAGTGGTTCTCAACCTATTTCTGTCATGCATTGCAGATTTGGTGCATTCGTTGTTTTTCTTTTTTTTTTTTTCTTTTTTTTTTTTTACACTCAAAAGTCACAAGTAAATGATTTTGGGTTCAACAGAAATGAAAATGCATTGGTCATGTTGTCCAAACCAGTGTGACCACAGTACGAGACACTTGCAGCTATAAGTGTGGTCAGTGCATGCATGGCTGCCTCTGAGGGTACTATGTGTGCACTTTAGTGAGTTCAAGCAGAAATCTGCACTGCTGACAGAGCCACTTGAATGATGTGAGGACAAGATTGTTCACATCAGCATACTGTAGATTATTGATGACCTCGGACTGTGCGCAGACACTTTCTATCAATCTCATGTGATGGAGGAGCAGAGAGAGGCTTCGCTGTAATTAGAGGCAGATTCATTTTTAAAGAATAGAACCACATATGTGCATTAAAACAGATGACTCTCCTCCACATTTATTAATTCATCAGGGCTGTCATAGGCTCAATATGTCTCTTTCCTGATGAGATAGTCCATCTTTTTACTGCACTGTGGCTTTCCAACAATATCTCCTAAAAAAGTATAACTTTGTAACTTTGCTTGACTGTTTTTGACATTGTAGGTGTTTAATTTCCTGTCACAGCCTGCAGCCTGGTTCGTCCTTTTTCTCCAATTCTCTCCTCAACTGTCCCCGACTCACTTTCACTTTGCCTCCCTCCCATCAGGGCCTCCTCTTTCTCTCCCCCTTCCCCCTCTCCCCTTCCCCCCTGAGTGTTGCTGCCCCCTGACCCCCACCTCCCTCCACCCCCTCCACTTCCCTGTCTCTCTTGTTGTGCCACGTATGTTACCCAAACTGTGCAGGAGCCATGCAGAGGGCCGGGCTCAGACTAAAGCTTTCCACATATCTTCGCTGAAATCTCTTTGGACCCTGTTCATTTTGGAACGAAACTAGGGGTTACAGTTTCTTATTTTATCTGCTATGTAGTCCCTCTTTTATCTGCTTCTCTCTACCTCTACTTCCACTGTCAGTTCACTTTCACTCTCTCTCTCTCTCTCTCTCTCTCTCTCTCTCTCTCTCTCTCTCTCTGTCAGATTCTCACTTTCCTCACAGTATCTTGTGTTTCTGTAAAACGCTGTCCTGGTCCCTCGCTTATAAACACAGGCTCCTCCTTAATGTCATTAACAGGTGGCTGTCTAAAATAGACACGCACGAACGTGGCTGCACACACACACACACACACACACACACACACACACACACACACACACACACACACACACACACACACACACACACACACACACACACACACACACACACACACACACACACACACACACACAGTAAAGCTGTCACAGACACAGACATGTTTTTAGTCATTTTGGCAGGCCTGAGGTCATGTGATCAGACCACCCTGCAGCACCTCACTGATCACTGATTCCAAATACAAACTAGTGTATGAGTATGAAAAGGGGGAGATTGTGCATGCGCTGTAGGTGAAGTCTTAAGGGCAAATACACACATTAAATCGACAACAGTGTTAACCAACCAGGCTGCAGCCCCCCCTCCCTTGTTACACTCACTTTCCATAACTCTTACGTACCTCCCTCCACCCCTCCTCTCTCCCCCCTCTCTAACTCTCCCATCAGCGCTCACCCCCTCTATTAAGTTTCAAGCTTCTCTTACTCCTGAACTGAACAACACACCAAACAGGTCAGATTTATTCTTCTTTCGCAGTCAAGCTGCTTTTTGGTTCATTATCTGCCAACATGTGACACATGTGGCTGTCTGTGGTTAAATTATGGAGAGCGGTCCACATTTTTCCAACATAAAATGAACTGTTTGTCCAAGCTTGTGATCCTTTGAGCTGCCACAGAACTTGAAACAATTTTTTTTGCAGCATTATCAAACTCAAAAACGATCATGTCAGCTATACAAAGCTTGGGAAGTGAGTGTGATTTGACCCCTCTGATCATTCACTGGTTAATATGGATGTAAACTGATCATGGCTTGTAATTCTATTACTTATAACTTGTCCGTCAGCAGCTGCAGTTGTGATATTATTTATTATAGTTCAAGTTTGTGGAGTGTACTTCATGGGTAATGTTAGAAAGCTTTGGTCGATGAAAGGATTTATTTTCTTTTAAAGATGATATCTCTGTGCTGAGCTGGCTGTAAATAAGGATTGATCGTTATTCATAAACCCTGGGATAATGACAATTATCATAATGGATCTGCACATTATTTTATATGATTACTAAACTAACAGCTGAATCTACTTTTAAGAATTCAAAGGTAGGATAAACCATTTGTATACCATGAGCGTTGTGCTACAGTTATACTCTCTTCATATCAAGGCAGCAAACATTAAATTCTCTGGAAAATAATTAAACAGTTTGGTGGCTTTTAGTCTTGCAGTCCAGTAATGAGTGTCCTCCAAATAATCGGCTGGGCTACACACCTGTCTATCTACCTTCCAGCTTAGTCCCACCTTCACACATTCTTGCAGGTGAGCTTATCGTGCATAAGCACAGTCTCCAACAAGCTTAAAGTATCACAGGCAGGTTGGCCTTGAATGCTCTATCCTTACTCGTAAATTCTCCCAGCACCAAAGTGAGGCATGCATTTAGAATTAAGATACCATTATAATCTAGTTTACTCTTTCTGTCATTTTCAAAGTTGATCAATCCAAGCTTTGAGGTGATGTCATGAAGTAACTTCTATTTTTCAGACAAATTATCCAAAAACCCAAAGATTTTCAGTATTAACACCCAAAGAAACAGGAGTTAGATGATAATTATAATAATAATAATTATATATTATATATATATATATATATATATATAATATATATATTAGATTTATATAGCACTTTTCAAAACAGGGTTACAAAGTGCTTTACAAAATAAAAATGAAATAGAGAAATGTGAGGAAGACCATGATTAATAATAAGAAGCAAAATAGTACGAGATTATACAACAGGAGTTCCACAAATAATAAAAAATAAACAGGAAATAAAAAAAATTAAAATCAGTAAGGAAACAAAGAAGAAAGGGGGGAAAATGGTTAGAGTCTCCAAAAATCTAAAATGAATGAAACTGACTATTAAAAGTAATTCCAGATCAATCTTCTTTTCACTTAACAGTCAACCCATACTAGTGAATGTTGTTTCACTTTTTATTCATACCTATGCTTTACCTGCGGCCTTTATTATAATATGAATCAGATTTGTTTTAGCCCAAACTCTAATTGTATTCCTTTAGACTCCTCTTATATCCATATTCTACAAATTACTGTACACAAAGGTGCTGAGCTTGGTGGGTTCACATGCGTTGCCTATATATATAAAACCTGTGATGCTGTCAGTGCAAAGCTCTGAATTAAGTGATCCACCAACTGCTGCTGCTGCCTTCCTAACTGGCTGGCTTCCTGCCTCCACTACGTGACCTGTTGGACCACACGGCAGGGTTAATTACTGCAGCCCCCTCCCCCCTGTCTGTCAGAGGGTCCAGACATGAATTATCACCTCCCATGCACCCTGTACGGGGCACCAAAGGGCCCCTCGCTGACAGTTTGGAGAACACAAACACATACATGCTCGCCTAAAATGAAACAGTCATGGCTGCCGATTCAAAGTGTTTGTTGGTGCGCGTAATGCATGCTGGGAAGTATTTGTGGCATCACATTATCCCCTCAGATCAAAGGGGGATCTGTGTTAATGCCAGCAATAGTGTACCTGCTCAGGGAAGAGCTCTGTTGCAAATTCCTCTGGGAAAAAACAAAGAGTAGGTGGTCCAGTCTGGCGCAGTGGTGTTATCGCTCACCTTGACCCCTGCACCGCTCATCCAGCCCAACTGTTTCTTCATGTGAAGGAAAACATGCCTTTCAGGGAAACCACATACGGCTTATCTATTGTTGGCAGAAAGCATGTGGTGTGTCTTTTAGGGAGGGATAACAGTAGATGCCAATAAAGCTGTTGGAAATTAAATATTACCCTGGTGATGAAAGGATTTTGCTTGTGTAAAGCATATGCCGGCTGCTCTTTCATCCTTGCGTATTGTATTTTTCCACAGGACTGGACGTAAAACAGACAACAACTCTCCTGGTCCTCACCTCCATAGCCATCCCATTTTATAGCTTCCCAAATGTATCCGCCCACTACTTCATTCTAGCTCCATTCATCTCTCTTTTTGTCTTATATCATCATTCAGCCCACTTATTCTTACTTGATCTTTTGTTTACTCTGACTGTTTTCAGTCAATTTTCCCTTCAACCACAATACATTGGAATCGCTGAGTCTCCTGGTTTTCTTTTTTTTTTTTTTTCATATTTCCAAATCTACCCCTCTCCCCGAATTCCCTCCATTTTTTCTTCAATTATCTGCCCCTCCAATCATATACCAAAGTGCTCCATCCTTCCCCCTGGTCTACCTCGATCCTGACCATTTAATTACAGCATGTGGTCCAACTTCTTCGTCCAGCAGGATGAGGAGGGCCGCATTGGGGTGGCAGGGGCTGGACAAGCCGGCGGTTTGGGAGGAATAAAAGGTGCAAGAGGACAGAGGAGGGTCCACAGGATGAGTGACAGCCAGGAAGGGAAGATCAAGCTGGCTTTCTTTGTGTCTATCATCGGTGTGACCCTGACAGTGTTGGGCATGGGGACAGAGTTTTGGGTGGAGCTGGCCCAATCGAAGAATTTTAGTGGCAACCAGACCTGCCAGATGGCCCATTATGGCCTGTGGAAGGGTTGCATCCGCACCCTGTGGGTGGCTGACATAGACCCGGAGAGGACGAGCTGCGGCCCAGCTGAGCTACCTGGAGGTGAGTTTTCTGGCTGCTGTGTGTCTGTGTGAGTTTGTGTGCATCTGTCTGTGTGCTCTTGCGCTGTCTGGGAGGTGAACAGGTGAGCTTTCTGGAGGGGATGTGTCTGTTTTGTTTCTCTTGTCTATCTCTCTGAAAAATGAATTCCTTGGCCATGCAAGTCAACATTCAGGCTTCCTGTATTTGACACTCTGCTGCAGTACTAAAGCGAATTAGTAGAAAAAGGTTCAAAAGGTGTAATAGAGAGGTTGAAGTTGTTAACATCACCAAGGAAAATGCATGTACAGTTAATCACCACAATTTTTCTTTGCCTTCGCCACTGATGTGTAAACAGAGGGAGAAGGCATAACTAATATGATGAATCCCCCCTGGGAATATGCAAACATCTGTAGGTCTTTAATACGCTCATAAGGGACTGAGGAAAGCTATACAAACATTTTATTTTGCAAAAAAAATCCCCCCACACAATCTTGAGATATTTTAGCAACATATTTGTGTTTTTTGATGCACACCACATTTAAAGCCATATTGCATTCTTTTATGTGCACCCTGTGTAATCTTGGAAAGGGATAGAGAGAGGATAGCTGTGTGTGTGTGTGTGTGTGTGTGTGTGTGTGTGTGTGTGTGTGTGTGTGTGTGTGTGTGAAGCTGCCTGCATACATATGTATCTAGGTCATCCTACAGATAATGTGCAAATTGAATCATTAAAGAAATACGATGCTGTGAAACGGTGCACGTGCAGGACCAGAGTGAAGCTGTTTTCAGTATTCATACTATTGTAACAACACAGTGCAGCATGCAGGTTCTGCACATGTAGTAGCATACAGAAAAATCTTTGTCAGTTGTTACATCATCAGCGTAAAGAAGCATTTTAAAGGTTTTCACCTATACTTGCTGCCCAATCACCAAGTTTCAGGTTACATAATTTACATATTAAGCAATACTACAGGTCTGTTGGGCGGTGGGCCCACCAGAGAATAAACCTTCATGTGTCTATTATGCACGGTTAAAACAGTCAAAAAAAGGCCAAACCAGAGGTTCATTGCGATGATGTATACAATATGTGTTCGGTGTTGTGAAAGCTTTTTTCTAAAGACATTTATTCCATTTGACCATAAGTCTCCGGATAGCATCTGTTAACAGCACAATGACTGTTTTATGTCTAAAAAGCGAGTCTAAAGATCAAAAGTAGGCAGCTATTGAAAGAAATAAGTGAGATAGATATAAAGGCGTGGGAAGATTTAGAGGGACCCTATACATCCCTCTAAATCTATCTGATATATATAAACTGGATAGGTCTGAAATTAATCACGTCATTTTGTCCCTTTAGGCGCACCGTGGATAAGCCTCCACAGTGTCTCCCTGTAGTCACAGTGATGGAAAAGAACGACAACGCTGCATCTTTAAATGTCTCATATCACTTAAAAAAAACAACTTCTAAACAGCTCAGTTGATGAGTCAAAAGTGATATCAATCTTTTGACATCAAACATTTGTTTTACCATTCCTTTTGGCTGTTTTCATTTAGTTTTTGATCAGTTCTCTTTTTCCGTGGTCAAATTAATGTCGTAACCTTAGATTGGTCCTTACCTTATATAAAAATAAAAGCAGGGTTGAATTCAAACAGCAAGTAATGTACTCTCAGCTTTAGACAGTTCAAAAATTCAAAGTTATAGAATTTAAAAAATGCGATTAATCACAATTCACAAATATATATGTAAATATATATATATATATATATATATATATATATATATACATGTAAATCTATATATGTATAGATACATAGTTTCTACCAGAGCATCAGGGACTAATTCATCTTCCTGTCATAGCAGATATAAATCTGTGCCTCTGAGATGGTTTTGTTGGTGTGTGAGAGCGGCCAGTATGCTTCTGACAATCTTCCTCGCTCGTCCTCACACTGTTGGCCAATGTCCCCTGTCGCAGATGGCCGTGGGCTTGTCATGTTGGAGAAAAACAACTGTTTTTGCTATCTCTGCGTCTCTGTTTTCACATCCCTGTTTACTCGCCTCTGGCTCCCATCCCGAGCAAAAACGCTGCCTGCCGCTGATGCTGGCCGCCGCTGATGCTGGCCGCGCCTGTCATCTCAAGACCAGCTATCCGTCTTCTCTGCCTGCTGGATGACAGCTCAATGATTATAACCTCGGCAGGGGAAGCGAGAGCAAAAAACTGTGAAAGCATAATGTGTTAAAAGGATTAGTAGGCTGATAAATGATGTTTCTGCTCCAAGAAAATGTTTGCAAATTCACTTAGACACAAACATATTTGTGTGTGTGAGATTGTGCAGTGTGGCTCTTTTGGACTACAAAATATTCAGTGGGTGAAAGTCATCACTATGCGCCTGTGAAGCCAAGTGGAATCTGACTACTTCACAGTTTTTGTCTAAATATAGAGAGAGGAGGGGGACAGACAGGGACTGAGGGAGAGTGTGTGTCTAATGCAGTATTAACCAAGGCCTCTGTGTTTCCTCCCACTTTTGACATCTCCTGCTCCCCTCACCTCCTTCTCCATCTGTGTCTCTCTTCCCCTTCACTTGCTACCCCTCTATCTGCCCCAGACTTATCCCTCCTCTTCATATTTCCTGCACTACCCTTTCATCCTCCACTCACCCCATGTAGCTTCTCTTCTTCTTCTTTTCTTCATCTTTGTATCTATCCTCCATCTGCCCCTTCTCCCCCGACATGCACCTTCAGTCTTTTGCAGTCTCACACCCTCTCTGGACGCGGTGCCATATGTGCGGTGCCGGGCAGTCTGTGTGTTTGTATTTGTGTGTGTGTTTGTGTGTGTGTGTGTGTGTGTGTGTGTGTGTGTGTGTGTGGAGCGGTGTGTGTCCCTGAGTTTTCCAGCTAATGCTCAACACTTGGATATAAATAGAAATGATGCCTGGAAGGACAGGGTGCATGGATGCATAGGAGGCACATAGCAGGAGGCCAGCAGCCATCCATAGGAGTGTGTGTTTCCATGTGTGCATGTGTGTGTGTGTGTGTGTCTGATCTTTTCTGCTTTTCCTTTTCCCACAGAATCCAACTGCACCTACTTCAAATTCTTTACCTCTGGGGGAGAATGCAGTCATATTTAAGAAGACAACAAATAAGAGTGAGACATTGCACTCCTCTCTCTCTCTCCCCCCCCCCCTCTTACAACACACTCACAAACATGGTCTCATAGCAGCTACTATCAATGAAGACATGCTGAGAGGACTGTGCTGTTGTTGTTGTTGTTTTTTTTTTTGCATGTTTCAGCCCATTAACTTCCACTGCAGCTCTATTTGTAAAGAATATCATAAGAGATCGGACTGATTCATGTGTTGACTTTTCTGTCTGGTAGCTTCTGGTTTCATTGCAGGTTGACGTTAGTGGCTGAGACTTGATACTTATAATACACTGGGCATAATCACCTCTATCTTTGGGTCAAACTTTTTTTTTGCATGGATATAGTTCACAAAAGGCCCTTGATGAATTGATGGGAGGGAGCTCAGACATTTACTATAAAAAGGGCAGCAAGAAAAAAATCAAACCATGACAGAAACCCTTAGCAAACATCAGTTGAAGATATTTACAATAGGATGTTGTTTTAAGCATTTCAATTGCTATTGGTATTGCACAAATATTCAAGGTTCTTACAGCATGTATCCTAACGATCCCCTAAACTTTCCTGCTAAAAAATGATCATATTTACTTAAAGGGCAAGTTTCATGATCAGAAATAAGCTTATTTGTAACCAATCCAAAATCAGAATCCGGCTGATCAATAATATTATCGTATGGCAGCTTTGTATCAACTGCTTTAAGTAACAAACTGTCCTATTCGTCATTCTAAACCTGAGGAACATTTGAAATAGTGAAGTTTCAGCACGTCACAACACATTTTGAAATAAATCCACACATACAGTACATTGTGTTTGCTGATCAGACTATTGAATTTAAGGTCTGCACATTCAGATTCCATTGTGGTTAGCATATTTTATCATAAACTAAGACTGTGTACATGTTAGTGTGCTATCTATCTAAAATCAGCATGTTAGTTTTGTCATTGTAAGCATGTGAATCTGCAGAGCTAAACAAAGCTGCCAGCATGTCTTTTACTCACCAGTTTTGTTTGTCTGTCTGTAATCAAAAGTGTAATAGGTGATGAATAAAAATTACACAACTTTGACAACCCACACATTGTCTTTACTGTGAGGAGTGAGTCATCTCAGGCACAACAGGAGTTTTAAATGTGCAGGTTCATTTAATGATCTAATGGTGACACACTAACCACAATGTCTGCCATGCAGGATGAAGAAAAGCTTTTAAAGTGTAAATCAAACAGCTGACAGTCTTTTTATGTTGCTTCAGTTGAAATTCACTCACCTTCTTCTTGTGCCCAACAAAGCCCATTCAGAAACCTCGTATCTGTAGTATTTTAATGAATTAAATAATAACAATTTCTGTCTGATTAGGAGTAAAAAAAAAATAATTTTATCAGATTTTTAGGTTGCACCTGCTCAGGTTTTCAAAGCTAAAACAATCAGTATTAAAGGGAGCCAGTGACACAATTCAGACTGTGATTGAATGTTCACACAGTAGCTAATCAGATGAATGTATACAACAGATAAACAGAAACAGATATATAAACAGTAGATTGTCATACTTGTATATCTGATTTGTCTTTCTTTCTGCTTTCCTTCACAGCTCTGAATCTAGCGGCAGCTATCTTGGCCCTTTTGAGTCTGACCATGATGGCGATGGGCTCAATTTGTATCGCCATGTCCCTCAGCAAGGGAGTGCCCTTCTTTCTCAAACCGGCCTCCTTCTGCTTCATCCTGTCAGGTGAGGCCTCACATTGCTATATTATAAATACAATGGCAAATAAGAGAGGAGAGCCACTGGGCTAAAATTTGTCTTTCTGTTTCTGCATCGGTATTTTAAGAACCTGATGTTATGTTTATATAATTAAAACTTTTCTGAATCTTATTTAATAATGTTTTATGTGTCATGTGAATGATGTTGATTGTTGTCCTTTTATGGCTGCAGAATGGGAAAAGAGCCCAAGGCTAATTTCTCACTTTGTGGGACGAATTAAGTTAATCTTGAATACATCTAGGATACACAAGAAGACGGATTACATGATTTTGTGGTTCTTTTAAACAGCTGTACGTATATATATAGCTCTCTCTCTCTTTCTGCAGGTGTACTAGTTCTCTTCTCAGTCCTGGTATTCCATCGGTCCGTGCTGGCCTTGCTGTCCAGCGATCACTCTGTTACTTTACACCACGAGCTCTCCTGGTCTGTGGCCTGTGTGGGCTCTGCAGGAGGAATACTTATTCTCGGAGGTTTCCTCTTCATGCTCCTCTCTCTTCCTTTCAGCCCCTGGCAGAAGTGCTTTCCACACAAGAATGGTGCTACCTAGCACTCGTATGCTAAAATAGTATTTTTGATGTCTTCAGAGCAAGTGGAAAAGTCTGTATCCTGAGGGCTGTGACTACTTGCTCTTGGCATTTAGTTTGTCAGAGGAGTCCTAATATGTCTTAAACAAATGTTTGATGAGAAATCAGCAACACACAACAAAACCTTTGGATTATTATAAGTTTTTTTTTTTTTTTTTTTTTAGTAAAAATAGAGTGATTGAGCCAAAGGGATGCTGCTGATTTTGAGTTTTGTATTGTGTTTACTAAGTGCGTAATGCGTCACAAATAGGCTTGGTAGACTGCTGTACAGTCATGCATACATCTATCATTTTTGCTAGCATGAAGACAGTGCATTAAGTCAGATTACTATGGGAGCCCGTTTCTGCCAAGAATGAAAAAAGAAAAATAATCAACATGACAAATTAATTACCAAAATGTTTTGTTTTTCCATGTCCTCTGAAAAGGTCAAAGTGTCTGTTCTCTGATCTGATGGTACCAGGAGCACATTTGTCTGTGATTTTCAAAACTTTCAAACCAGTGGTGAAGATTAAATATTGACTTGGACAAATGCAAAAATGTTTTATACATTTCAACAGCATGGTTTGGTTTACTAAGATACAGTAAGTAAACTAAGGTTTACTTGTCATGGTTGCTTATGTAACGATAATAAACAGGTTAGTGAGTTGTATGAAGGAACGTGGTAATGTCTGATAATCACATTATGATGACTTAAAAGGCCTATGAACACTCAATCTCCTTTTTTTTTGGATCCGTAATCTGTAAAAAAAAAAAGTTACGCACAGACACCTTGCACACTGAGTCCGATGCGCTTAGTTTTCTCTTAATTGTGAAAATTCGCAGTATGAGACAAGATGTCTGGCACTCATCATGCAGAGTGATCAAGCAGTGAAGAGGATGTAAAAAACCCAACAGGTTGAAAACAAGACAAGAGCGAGGAGAGATTCACCTGTCAATAAAGAAGAGTTTTATCTTCTTGATAAGGAGCTGCAGAATTCTCCCCATGACTCCCAGGTGTATTTCAGGATGTCAGTGGTCTGGTTTGATACGCTGCCAGCTTTACTGGAACCATACATTAAAAAGAAGAATGCCAACTTCCGCGAAGCAATTGATCCATAACAGCAGCTTGCAGTATGTTTGAGGTAGGGACACCCACCCAAACACACACAAACACACTAATGGCTGGGTCAATTAAAATCGCAGAAAATGTATCGTTTTGAAAAAAATAAAAATGAAAAGTTTCAGAGTCAGTGTGCAAACATGGTCGAAACAACATGAGATCGTATTTCTTTTTTAGCGTGAGTCGATTTCGGTCAAAAAAAAAAGGGACTCAGTGTGCAAAGGCCTTCAGTTGGAAACAGGAAATAGACAGCTTTTCCTTGTTTCCAAAGCCTCCTTTTTTTCTTCTCCTCAATGACTCATTCTATCACATGAACCTAAACAAGTTATTTATGATCCAGTTACTGAAATAACACTACATCAAGATGAAAGGTAACATGACAGAAAGTTTAGATTACAGTGTCATTATTGTAGCATACCATGGTTATTGTTGTTTCCTAATGTAAGTTCAATCTTCATCGAATTATTTCAGGCAGGAATTGTTTTTCATAGTTCAAGTTTCTAAAGCGGCATCATGTGTATCACCATCAGTCTAGCGATAAAGTAAAATGATGATCCTCTTTATATTACCTCTCATGTTGCTTTATGAAAGGAATCAGTGTGTCAATATTAATCTAGTTGTTAAACTAGAGGCTTTGGTTGTCATTATTTATTACTGACCTGTGTGTTTTACTTTAGTACACCAGCTGAATGTTTGTTGGATGAAAAAAAGAGTGTGAGAAGTGATTAAAATACTGTTTTTTATATCAGAGAATTGTATGGACTCACTTTGTAAGGTCAACTTTGTACATAATCTGAGTGAATGAGTTTATATTGAATGAGTGGTCACTGTTTTTGTGGTGTTGTTTCCACTCACTTTATGTAAAATATCTCTGCAGTAAATAAATACACATATATTTACAGTATGTTCCACAGGTTTGCTTTTCATTAAAGGGATTTGACGTAGAATAATTGCCTCCCTTTTATTCGCTGACATGACACCCAGCCTGCTCTCAAAGTTGACACTCACCCATTTTCAGCCCGACTCCTAACCTCCCTGCCAAACACCCCCCTTCCCCCCGAAACCCTCCTCTCTATAATTAAACCCGAGCTCATCGTAATGCGTTTCACTGCAGAGGTTCAGAAACCTTATCCTTGAATTTCAACTATGTACCCCAGCAGCCCATCCTCATATCGCTGTGCCCTCTCCTCTGTTTCTCCACCCCTGACCTCTGTGCGTCACGCTCCCTGCTGTCTCCAAGGGGAAGGTGGCAGTCACCTCTCCTCCACACCACATCCACCTGCCCCGCCCTGCTCACACATGCACAGACACACAGACAACTGCCTGATCAGATCAGAGACAGCCCAATAACTACTCTAACACCCAATCTGTTGGCATCCAGACAGTCACATACACTTACATGACCACCTGCACGTGCGCGCACACACACACACACACACACACACACACACACAGAGACACACACACACACACACACACACACACAGAGACACACACACACACACACACACAGAGACACACACACACACACACACACACACACACACACACACTTTAAACTCTCAGTGGGCAGAAACCGAATCCACATGACACACTATCCTGGTTGTATATATAGCTGTTAATAGTTCTACTGAGACTGTTTTAAAAATGATGTACAACACTTACTGAAAGTCTGTGAGTGGAAGCAGAGTTTTAAAAATTCTCCTATAATGACAAAAGAATCCCATTTGTAATTCAAAATATTACCAAAATATGATTCTTTATGTCGTATACAGTAACTAAAAAAGAATTGGGCCTCTGAAGTGAACATGAGCCTCTAATTTCTAAATCCATTTGTATATTGTAGGAGGGATAAGGTATGAAAATAACAGGGTAGAGCACTTCTGAGTGTTAATCCTCAGGGTCCAGGAGCTCTGTTAGGAATCTCAGGCCCCTTGACAGGGATGTGACACTGCTTCCCTCTGCCATAATGCATCAGAAGTATCATCTCTTGCCTCTGAAGGGACTCCTCCAGCTCAATCCTTGCTGGAAGTATTCCAACTTCACTCCCTCATTACACTGAGGACGAGCAAAAAACCTGCCCAGTGGGACCTTGTCAGAATTTAATCATTTTAACGTAAAAACATGCAGGAGGTCCCAGATGGTCTCATCAGAAAAAAAACACAAAAGATGGTTTCAGGTAGGGCATTGGTCGCAGAAAAGTTCCCTGAATTAATTTTGAAAGTTGCTTTTCTTAGTATCCTTTTTTGCAGATACCTCCCATCTGGCACTACACATATATTAGCAAGCATTAGCCTCAGGTCTGACAGTGAAGGTCGAAGTCTATTTAGGATCACAGCATGATGCGAAGATGAGCCGAGAGACCTTGAGATTCAAGGAACTACGAAGACCACTGCCTGTACTTGTTTTGAATGTTTGTTTATACTTTACTAACTTTACGCAATTTCTCAACTTCTGTACGTCAGTTGCAGTTTGTTGACTGTAATTAAAAATGTCTACTTTTACACTATACACATGTAATCAGACATTTATGAGCAGAAACATCTGTTATGTTTTTCAGTTATGAATTAGCTAAATAAATACTTTTCACAAAATGTAATGTAACTGAATTAATAATAGTTTTTTTGGATATCTTACAACAGATTTAGGCTTTCACATCACGCTTGTTGAAGTGGCTCGTAAAATAATGCTCTGACATAAAACTGAAACCCCGGCTTTAGTTTGAGCTGAGAGAGAAACTTCATTCTGCATACTGAAGTCAAAGATAATCCAAGATATATTACAACAAACAAAAAACACTCTCAGGAATAGAGGGGAACTTTGGGTAAAATTATAAATGCAAGACCATTTGGAAGAGCGCGCTTGTTAAGAATGATATTGTTTGTTTGATTTAGACTTCTATGAAACAAGTTCCAATCAGAACCGTCACAGTTGCCTTTCATGCGCTGCAGTCACAGTAAGACATCATTATTCTTTTGGAGATGTGTTTCTGTCCACCTGATCAATTAAAGTCCAATATTCGCTGTCCTTTAGCTTTGCTTTTTTGGTCTTTACCAACACCTGAGGGAATAATGTTTCTGCTAAAATCTCAACTGTTCACCAACTAGTCTTAAACAATGTCTGTCTGTCTGTTTGGTTCAGAGGAGGTAGTGTGGGATGTTGGTTTTTAAAGCTTTTGTGGTTGTGAACAGCTGCCTGCTGCCCCCAGAAATGTCCCCGTCTCTGTTAAGTGTCATCATTTTCACATCACTACAAGCGAGCCTTTTTCTTTTTTTAACGACACATTGATCCAACGTTGTCGTTACACTTCCCTTATTAAAACGTTGATTCATTCATTCTTTAAATAAAGGACCCACACACTTCCTGCTCTTATTTGAGGGTTCATTCTTTTTCTGCAAAAAAGCAACAAAAGACAAAAGTCTGTAAATAGGTCTGTTATTGTTTTTTTTTTTATAAACTTCGTGCAATACAGTGTAAGTTTATCACACATTTAGATAAACCATAATCATTTGTCTAGATATATCTATTCTCAACTACATACTATTCATATTGCCCACATAAATGCTATCTGTGTGCAGTTTTATCACATTTTTCTTTTTCTCAAATGAAATCAAAGAATAAAAAAAAAAGTAGAGAATCTGGAAGCGTTTGGTTGTTTTTCTTTTGTTTCTTCATTGTTTCATGTAGCTGTGTGTCCATTGTTTCCATCCGAATCTGCAGTCATTCGGGGCAGCTCAGAAAGGGGGGGAGGGGTGTTTACATGTGTTTACATTCTCATCAACATAAACAGATCAGAGTCCAGACTCAACGGTCACAGGGGGGGAAGCACAGTGAAGAGAGTCTTTGGGGAGGTTACGATGTTGTCTCTTTTATTGGTCGAGTTTTTAAAGAGGGGAACACTGATCATGTGTCTTCATATTGGGCAGGTTGTGGGGGGGGGGGGAGTAATGGTGGCACATTGGATAAAACCACCCAATAATAGTCCATTAAGGGGCACCGGGATCACACATTTCATCCAAACCTGCCCCAAGATGTATCTGAACAGTGGTCCCGCAAAAACATATCTATAGACTTTACAAATATATGTATGCGTAAATTACAATGTACATGTTTGTTTTCAAAAGTTTGTATCTGCAGTGTTTTTTAAACCCTCAGAACCCACATATACATTTTGTGTTTTTTTGCCATTGAAAATGAGTTGCATGTCTCACTTTGGGACTCTTCATAGAAAAAGATGATTAAGTTCTTGTTTTTTTTTTTTTTTTTTACTCAGGCAGTAACTTGAACCTGAATCTGTACAAATGTATTATTCTATGTCATCTTTTTTCTGCATCCTCCTGCCAGAGGTTTCTGTTAATGCCCAAGAACAAACATCTTCAACACGACTATAGCTACAAATACTACTGTTTACACTGATTAGAATGGAAAGAAGACGAACAGAGGCCAATAGAAAAACTCAGACTCATAATGACAATGAAGTTTGACAGTTTGTCTCAGTCACGCACATTATTGTTGCATTTCTTTCAGTATCAATATTGGAAGACAATTTACAGTATTCAAATCTGACTTCATGTTACAAATGGAAATCATATCATATGAGGCTAAAAAACAGTAATACAGGCCCTCATTCTCCCACTTATTGTGCACACTCATGCTTGACACCTTGACACAGTTACACGCAGCGCACTGACAGTCCCAGTGGCTTTGCATGGAAGAATTTCACAGTAAAAAGTCGTCGAGTTCTAAAATCAGAGTGAAAAAACAAAACATGAAATCTGTATTTTGTTATAAACTATAGTGTTTGCGAATACGGCTAGCCTGTAATAACGCTAAGAATAATTACAACAACAATTTGACACTAATGATGATCTGGTTAAATTAGCAGTTATATTGCACAAAAGAAAGTATGTGAAACATTTTCAGAATAGCCCAAGGTTAATTGCGTTTGATCATTAACAAAATAAATCATTTCTAGCACATTAAAATATCAAAATAGTTTTATTGTGAAAGTTCATTGTTGTTGTTATTATCACTCTGTTATTACTCTTCTTCTTTTTGCTCTCAGTGAGGTTGAGTCAACTAAATAACAGTGAACATGGAGGGAGAGATTTAGCATTTCATTGCTACTTCTTGTTGAGACTCACAACACAGAGCTCCTCTCTATCTTCCCTCTTTGATTCCTACTCACTTTCCTCCTCTGCTTTCCTTCTCCCCCTCTCTCTACACAGGCGTTGTCTTCCTATTGAGGGTGTTAGAGTTACTCTCCCTGTCTCCCTTCAGCCTGTCCAGGGTCCCCATCCCTCGCTCTCTGTCCACCGTGGACGAGGTGAAAGGTGGAGGGCCAGAGCCCACCGAGTTGGGCATCTGCGCGTTGGAGTTGGAAGAATTAGAAGGGTTGTGGGATTTAAGCGAAGGAAGTGTACCACTCATCATCACCCCACCGCCGCCTCCATCCTTTGGAAAGCAGTTGTGGAGCTGGTAGAGTGTGGCCCTGTCCACCGTTCCGTACATGGGGGGCAAACCCCCCAGTTTGGGGTCTCGGGACAACGTGTAGAGGGAGATGTCACCTCCTGCCAAGGCTGTGTGCGAGCGAGAGTGGGGGTTAGGTAAAGTGGACACTGAGATGGGGCCCTGGGAGAGCAGCGCAGAGGGGGGCAGGCCGAAGTTCTTGCCCCCGCCGCCCACAGGTGAGGGGTCTCGGGAGCGAGAGGGGTCTGTGGACCGAGATGAAGAGCGGGACCGGCGTCGGAAGCGGTAGCTAGGCAGACGGAGCATGGCGTGTGTGGTGCTCTTGAAGATGTCGGTGCGCGAGCGGCAGCGCAGCTCTTTGTTCTTCTCTATGTAGATGTTGACAGCCAGCACCCCCACCA